TTATTTTATTTTTTAAATTATATGAACAGGGTATCACTATGCAGCTTGGACTCATAGTGATCCTTCTGTTTCAGCCTCCCCACTACTAGGATTATAGGCATGAACCACCATGCCCAATTTCAGTGGCCAGCACAGTGGCACTGCCTGCGGTACCAAGGACCAAACACAGGTCCTTGCACTTGCTGGGCAGATGCTTAGACCACTGAGCTATATCTCTCTGGCCCCTGTTTTGAGGATTATCAAATATACTTTAGCTTAGCCCTTGTTTAGAGAGTATAAGATTCAGGACAAAATGAAAAACTAATCTATTTCCATGATGATTATAAAATATAAGTCATAGACATATGTTATAGAAAATAAGTTCCATATGACTTTTACTTATTTAGTATGCCATATATATGCTCAATTTGAGGTTTCCATGTATTATCCAAGTAGAAGTATTTAGTAGGAAGCAGGACATAAAACTTGGGAGAATTTCAGGGTTAGAGAAACATATTCAGGGAATTGAAGTTTTATGAAAAATTAGTATTAATATCAACTGTGGAATCAGAAAAAGTATCATAAACTTCAGAAATAAAATAGTTAAGAGACAAAGGAAACAAATAGTAATGAAGAAATCTAAGATTTATTACTGAAAATAACTAAAATCAAAAACAGTTTTAAGACTGAAGAACAATCAACATCTAACACTCAAGCAAAAAGTCTAAGCATAGCCCATTGGATTAGGAGTTTTAGCAATGTATTTTAATTATTATTTCAAAAAGCTAAATAATGAATACATTTGCAAAGCAATACCAAAAGCAAATTAAAAATTAATAATATATAGTATCCTAGATTATGAAGTATTACATAAAATATCTCATTTTTTAGTCACTTAACCTCAAAATTAGAATAACTCAAAACACGTCTCATTTTCTGCATTACTGAAGCTTTGGAAAAGCTTATGGCCACCACTTTATTGTTAAAATCTACCCTATAATTTATTTTGTACTCTATTTTTAATTCTTAAATTTCATTTTGTTAAAAGAGATTTGAGGAAGCTATTGCCTAATGTTAAATGATAGGTCAAGGATTGAGAATAAAGCAACAAAATTATCTTACTTTCTGTACTTAATTTGAATGATCAATTATATCAATTTCAACTGTCACCTCTAATCTTAAAAATAACTCAGTTGATAAATGGATGAAGGAAATGCTGTGTTTATACACAGTGGAATGCTGTTCAGCACAGAAACGGCATCTTGTCATTTGTGACAACGGAGGTGGAACTGGAGAGCATTCTCTTAAGTGAAATGAGACAGGCCTAGAAACAAGCATTGCATGAACTCATTCCTATGTAGAATAGGAAGAACTTGATTGTAGATGCTGAGAGTAGAAGGGTGATTCCCAGAGGGTGGAGGGAGCAGGACAGGGCAAAGATGGAAGATGGTTACTCAATACTGCATCAGAGTCAGAGAGAGGAATTCTGCTGTGTTATTGCAGAGGGAGATTGGCACAGAAAATGATAATGTATGGCCTGTACTTTTCAAATAGTTGGAAGAAAGATGTTTTACTGTCAAGAAATAAGTATTTGAAGAGAGAGATATGCTTAACCCGACTTAAACATTATACAATGGATACTTGTATAGAAATACACCTCATTGATGTGCAAAACTTATGTATTTGTGTATCAGTGAAAAATAAATTTAAAAATTTAAAGTTGAAAATCTAGAAAAAAAAATTGTTTCAGATTTCATTAGTTCAGTGGGAGCACAATGGAAACTTCTCACCCGCGGCACTGGCACAAGAGCACTGGCTGTGGCAGTTTAAGAGCGTGTCAGCTCCATCTGACTTACCACGGTGCCATAAATGGCCAGGGAGCCGTTGCCCAGCTGTCTGACTCGGTGGTTGATTCCAATCTCCACCCCATTTCTGCTCCACTGGATGGTAGGGGCAGGGTCTCCCTTCACCTCACAGTTTAAGATAGCATTGCCACCAAGGGGTTCGATCCAGTTGGAGGGGTAATCCCCTTTGAAGACCGGAGGTTCTGGAAAATAAGAGAACTATGAAGTAAAAGTCAGTACTGATCATTTGTTTGTGATTGTTTAGTAAAAAGGCAGAAACATTGCTATGTAACTTCATGAATTTTCCTGGGAGGCTGAAATAGGAGGATTGCAAGTTTAGGCCCAGCTTGAATAATTTAGTGACTTAGTAAGACCTTGTCTCAAAAACAAACAAACAAAAAACTCCAAAAAACAAAAAATACTGCCCAAAACTACAAAATGAAGGGTTGGGGATATAGCTCCTTGGGCAGACCCCAGCTTCATTCCCTGAAAAACTCAAAACAGGACAACTTGAAACTTCATTAACTTTTCAGAATCAAATTGCTCATGCTAAATCACTATTGCCAATATCAGTATTCTGAAGGGATGACTCCATGCTGTGTGAGATGATCTCGTTGCTTCAAACTTTTGAGTTGGATGCTCATAATCTTTTCTCATGAATTTGTACACTTGTGAAATTGAACTAAATGGATTGATAGCCTGAAGTTTTATTGAACTGCTGCATAACAAGGAAACCAAATAGAAGCCATTCATTAAGCAAATCATAGATTTTAAATGGAGCACTTTACTTACCCTTCACATAAACAAATCCAATTGCCTTCACAAAACCAACGCTGTTCTCTGCAGTGCACACGTAAGTACCTGAGTCCTCTTTGGACACTTTCTGAATAACAAGTTCGCTATGTCCATTGACACTGTCGAAGTGGGCTGAAGGAAACAAGTTAGGGAACAACACAAATGCCTCTCAGTGACTTAGGAAAAGTTTCATGACAGCTTAATGTTTTGCAGGTTAGATTTATGAGTTGGTCAGCAACTGAACCCAAGAGTGCTCCTCATGACACTGGACAAGAGAGCCTTTTCCACCGATCGCCCTCACTGAGCTCTTTACTATGTTTATGGACACTTGTTTGAAGAACGGAAAGCACCCGAAGGAACAGGAAAAGAACAAAAACAAACATCTTTTAAAAATTAGTGCAGATTACAGTACACCTTTCATCTCAGCATGCTCTTTAAAGCTGGTTTGTAGTTTCTCTGGGTTTCAAAAATCTTTCCTGCAGGAGAACGACATTTTTCCACTTCATTTATCTCACCACTTTTCCTCCCAAATAATTTACATGAATAACATGGAGACCTGTGCTGTTATAATTCAATTGGCTGGCACCACAGAGGGGAAATCCTGAAGATACGTGTTAGTTAGGTAATAATGACAACATGCTCTAACTGGTAATAATTTAAACTTCCCTATAAATCACACATGGGGGTGATAAATATTTACAAAGACAATTGGAAGAGACTATGAGGCCAGCATGTAATCTTAAAACAACGAAAGCCAAGTAAGATTCTATTTAAAGCAAGGAATATGTATCAAGTTATATTGAGTGTGGTTAATTTGTGTGCTTTCTTCACTTATTTTTTTAAAATTTA